TTCCACTTCAGTCCTTCTAAATGTGCATCAGGGAACTGGAGTGCATGAGCAGCAAGAGAAGCCATCCTTCTCTCTTTGTTCTCTTCATGTTCTTTGCACCTTCCCCACATACTTTAGGAGCGGAAAAGACAAGTCACTCTGTCTGCGGTCATGGTCTTGCTTGTGGTCAAATTTCAGTTTACCAGTTATGAGTAAACACAAAGATCTGTTGTGGTCTTTCTTTGATTAAGATGCTTTCGTGCTACAGCTAGGTGGTACTACACTTTCTATTTGTGTGTGATGGAAACTGGCTAAAGTGAGAGGTGGATCTCCTCCTCCCCTACCTGTCCCAAACCAGGATACTTCTCTGGGGAGCTTAGGGGAAGTGCCCCAGTGCAGAAGAGACAAATATGCTTTTCACACAGGATTGTGCAGCTGCTGTTCCCGTCACCTGTCCCAGGTACATAAATCTCATCCTGAATTTGGCTGCTCAGAGCTTCTTGTAAAATGCCGATTAAATGCTGCTGACCTCTTTGAGAAAAATTGAATCTGGTAACGTCTTTGTTGTCTTACAGGATGCTAGTAGCATTGAAAGTGTCTTTTATGAGAGTTTCTTATCTGCGGAAACATATCAGATTCTTGATTACTTACTTTCCTTGCAAAAGCAAGGAAAAAGGTTTTTTTGTTTGTTTTGCAACACTTGAAACTGTGAGAAGCTTGCAGCATGCTGTTACTGAGCTCTGTATACTGAATGCACGCTGTTGCTCAGAAGCAGCCTCAAACCCAGAGAAACTTCAGCCCTTCCACGATGACCTGAAACAAAAACACCAGCAGAAAAACTAAAGCAGCATGATACTCTGATCAGTCATGTACTTGGCTTGTGTTTACACAGAGGATACGATTTATTTTTTTTCCTTTCAAGTCGTTTGCAAACATTAACCCTTGTTCTCACCTATTTTAAGACAGATAACAGCCTCTACATCAGTTAAGAACATGGAATCATAGAATCCAGTTAAGAACATAGAATCGTTAAGGTTGGAAAAGACCTCTAAAATGATCTAGTCCAACTGCCAATCTATCCTCACCGTGCCCACTAACCATGTCCTTCAGTGCTACATCTACACATTGCTTGAACGCCTCCAGGGACAGTGACTCCACTGCTTCCCTGGGCAGCCTGTTCCAGTACCTCACACTCTTTTGTTGAAGGAACTCTTCCTAACATCTAACTTGAACCCCGTGGCATTAGCTCATCGTCTTCATCCATTTACACCCAGATACCCTTCATGTCCTTCATTTTCACCTGTGCTCTTTCTCATGCAGCCTGGATCCTGACTTGGAGTTTCTTGGCGGGGCCATCTGAGGTTGGACTACCAGAAGAAATATGGTACAGCTCTAATCTGAAGGCTGCTCCATTTTTCTTAAACCAAACAACAAATAATGGTAAAGGGGCCAGTGATGCATAAGAGAAGATATTTACTGTTTTCAGAAGAGGTATTACATGCATGCTGCTATTTCTGGGAGTTCAAAAGAGGATCAGAAATGAATGAGAAGCCTTTGACCTGGGACACTGAGCAATGGCCTGCGAAGAGTTCTCTTTTGCTCTGATCATGTGAGGGATACGTGGAGGGATATTTACATCCAAAGGAAAGAGCATTTGCAGCATTTAGCAGCTGTGCCTGTCTCTACCAAGCTGTTTGAAGAAGACTTGGATTTTGCTAGTCTGCAACAGATGGACAACTACCATTTGTGAGCTTCGTTTCTGCAGGAGGTGTCTCTGACATTTCTATAAGATCAGATTTTTGTTTGCTTCTTTTTTTTTTTTCCTGATGGTCGTTGCTGCGAAATGATCATGAAAAAAATCTTCCTGAAGGCATCCAAATTCATGTCATCTCGCTTTGTACTGCCTGCTTTATCTGGAGTGACTTCTTTGTGACTGCCAGTGGTACTGGCATACATCTTTGCTGTGTTACGGTAAGTTTACTTGACCAGTACTGCATCACCTTTGAATGCTTTTGTCAGCCATGTGAATGCTAGAATTCTCACTACAACTCTATTTTCTATTAATTTCCAGCCTTCTACTTAAAAACTTTATTAAAGGCTGGAGTAATGGAGTCTTGTTGAGCTCCCTGCAGGCAGTACCTTCAAGAGTATTTTAATGGTCATTTTGATTGACATTACTGAACTACTCTTGATTTATAATCGTAAATAAAGTCAAATGAACATATTTGTGTAAGAGCTGGGAGCTGATGAAACTGGTCTCTAGTCACGTTAAGAGCTAGAGTCATGTTAAAATGCTAGATAAAACAGGAAATCATTGTGAGCTCCTGGAGTAAAGTAAGTATTGACCACTGGAAGCATCCTGGTAGCAGAGCAGCACAACAGGACCTTTTGAATTGCACTGTCCTTCACACCAGGTGTCCAGATCTGTTGCTGGAACAGTGGCAAACAGCAATAGGAAGAAGAAAGACGAATCCTGTTTCTTTCCAAGGCTGATTCTAATAACAAGAGGAGTACTTTGGGAGAAGGTGGCCTATCATGATGCCTTCTCTGCACCATGCTCCAGAGTAGCTGATTGTAGAATTATTTGACTTGAAAGAGACCCTTAAAGGTCAACTAGTCTGTCACTCCAAGATAAGTGTGTAATTCTTATGCTTAGGGAATGACTGCGCTGACTTACGTGTTGTGTGAAAACAGGACTATCAACTTTTTTAAACCTTTTCATCATTATGTACAGTTAATGTCATTATGCTTTTTTTTTTCCTGGTCTGCATTTCTGTGGCAGCTTTGGTTCCTCTCAGTTGCTCTGAATGGCCTTCCAAGGAACCTCGATGTAAAAAATGTGGGTTTAAGAATGAGTCAGCTTTGCTTCACTCAAATACCTATTTATTGTTTTTCATAGTTCAATAGGTCTGCCTGTACCTCATTCATCACTTGGAAACTCTTCTTCAGCTAAAATTATACCTTTGATCATCTGACATTATGAAAATCCCTGCTTTATTTTTGTCTGTGTTAATAGTATTATCTCATCCTTTCTCATCAGCGGATTTCAAAGCCCTCTTTCAAAAGAGGAGTGGTGTTATCCACAGCATCTTGGTGCCTGGGGGAGCAGGGTTTGTTCCAGGCGGCAGAGAAGATGAAACCATCCAGCTTTGGTGAGCTGTGGATTCCTGAGCCCGCCGCTAATAATGAGCAGCTGATTCAGGAAGCCCACTCAGAGCACAGCTTCCATCCTGGTGGCTCATCCTTTGAGGTAGCTGTGAGTATTACTGGGAGGGTTGGGAAAGGCTCAGTGGGAAGAGAGGTCAGTGTTCACTGGGGGGGAGCTTGGCCTGCAGCAGGCACTGCCCGAAGCACACACGTGCACAGGATATAGGGCAGAAAGCCTCGCCATGACTAGGAGCACCTCTGAGTTTTGTGAGAAAAAGGCCTCCTTGCTGTCTCCATTTAGAGAGGCGTTGGGCAGCTACTGGGTGCACCCTGTAACTCCACACATGAATGGGCTCACGTCCTCCCTCACTGCAGGGTGTGTGCCCAGGGCTGCTGCCATCTTGCTGCTATTCCTCAGCATCCTCTGAGCTCCAGACCTTTTGTATCTTGCCATCACCAAGAACCACTTATGGGTTGCTTTTTGCTTGCTGACCTTCACTTTTGCCAGTCCAGCACAGGGAGCCTTTGCCCTGTTCAGGAAAGCAAGATCTCAGGTTTATCTAAAGGACCTGCTTGATCTTACTGACTAGAAGGTCACAGAATGGGACCAAGGAGAACAAACTACTGTATTGCACCGTATTACTTCCAAATTAGTGTAGGCGCTTGACTGATGTTTAGCTCAGCAGATCACAGTGCCACTGTGTCACATCTGTGAGGTTGACATGTCATGCCAGCTCACCAGTGATATCACTATGTTCAGTGGCATCCGTGAGACTTTCCTAGACCTGATACTTACAATTTGTCTTGCTCTTCCTTATAAAAATGGGTAATAGATGGACTAACCCACTCCTTGAGGCAGTTTTTCATATCTGATATATTTAGTGACTTGTACTGAGTAGTAAGAATTACACACTTTTTGTAGCAAGGAAGATATCTTCTTAGTGCAGTAACGCCTTCCACAGCTATTCTCATTGTCTGCATTATTGCAGTTCCTTGCCCAAAGTTGCATCAGCAAAGTGCTGATGGCAATGCATTCCCCACAATGAGTTGTGAAGGATGTATGTGTGCTTGAGCATTTAAGAGTGCTGGTTTTTACTTTGTCTGTTTGTTATATCATGAGGGATGTGATGTGGAGGTGAGCTTCCTCTTATATTTCTAATTTGGAGTGAGCATGACAACAGAGCTACTATATATATGCTTTAATACTATATATGTACCTTAATGCTTCTTCTCACTGCCTGCCCGTTGCTATTTTTAAGTTTTGTCTGCTATTTGCAGCCACGTTTGAATGCTGGGTGGTTGTTTCATTACCGATGGCCTAAGAAAGATGACAGTCTGCTGAGTAGTTGTCATTTAGCAAAAAAAGAGCCATCAGGAATATTTTCCATGCAGGTTTTCCAACTCTTACTTTGGCTGCTACTACATCACTGATTTTTGCCTTTTAAAAAATTATTTTTGTGCCAAAATCTAGATGTTGCTTTGAGACTTTTCTTCCTGTTCCAGACCCGACTAACAAAGTGTAGATCTACAAGCAGCTACTGTGGCATCTTTCTTTGCCTTCTGCTCTGCAATCAAATGCAACTATTCTTTGTGTGGTTTCTAAATTATGACAGACCTTCCCTATACAATCTGTCTTTGCTTTCTTTTACCTTGCCAGATGTTTATATCGTGAACACAAATTCAGTCTCAGAGTTAGGTATTTTTCGAACAAAGAACGTTCATTTTAAAAGATACTTTTAAAAGATGCTTCAAATGTGTTAATGCATGCTGGAAAAAATTATCTTTTAAAAGATTTATTTAAAAACAACAGCAACAAAAAAAAAAAAAAAAACCCACCACATTATCAGTGTTAATTAAAAAAAAAAATTGCCATCCTGAATTATGGTAATTAAATCATTCAAAAATGCCTATATATATGTATGCGTAGACAGTTTGGATACCTGAAAGAAAACAAAGCTAGATTATAGCACAGCGTAATGCACTGGCTTTGCATCTTTGTACACAGTGTGTGTTCTGTGTCCTTTTTTTCTTAATGGCAGAAGGTGTAGCCTTCCCTGAGATTAAACTTCTAACAGCAGCTGCTGTTGTTAATAGATTGCTACATGTATGAGCAAACAAAAGCTGCACAGATCAGCTGAGGGTAAAAAATACTGTAATAACCACCTACTCCTTGAATAAACAAAGATATTTCTCAAATGGACTTTGAGAAAGCAAGTTGTTTCTCCTCTGCCCTCCATTGAGTCCAGTCATCTCTTGGTGCTGGTGAAAAACACGCAACGAGCGTAGCACTTGTGAGTTAAGGCTGCTGTTAATCTGAGCAGTGATTTCTAATTGCAGCAGATACAGCGTACGGGTCTGACTGCCAGATCTCACATCTAGGACAGCTTCTGTCATAGTATTCAGAAAATCTAAGAGGCAGAAATCAAAGATGAAGTTATTATCAAAGACTAGCTGGCGTAAATGCTTGTGCATTTTCTGAGCTTTTTGAAGTTCCTGCTTTTGTCATTTTATTTTTGTCAGTCGGTGTGGAACACGTTACAGAGCTTCTTGGTCCCCAGTTGACTGTGTGTGGAACGATCCTGTAGACTCGGTGTGGTAAGTGATATGGAGTCCACACCACTTACAAATAACTCCAGGTAACTGCCAGTTCTTAAAGAGCATCTTCAGGTACTTCTTAAATTTTTCCCCCATGAAGAAATAGATGACTGGATTGAGGCAACAGTGAAAAAGGCCAAGGGTTTCAGTTACTTGAAATGCATAGTCCAGGTTCTTACTTGTTTGACAGTTTCTAATGACTCCAGTAGCTTCCAGCAGTTGTAGTAAAATTACAATATTGTAGGGGGTCCAGAAGAAGAAAAACACAATCATGACAGCGAAGATCATCCTCACAGCCTTATTCTTTTTCTCATTTCTGCAGTGTAGTAAAGTTTTAATAATCATGGAGTAACAAAATGCCATAACTATAAAAGGGAGTAGGAGCCCAAGAATATTGATTTCCAAAGTGTAGAAGAGTTTCCATGTCATGTAGTTGCTCGGATATCTCAGCTTGCAAGTAGTATAATTTTGTTCAACGAAAGATTCTCTAAATACAAGTTCTGGAGCTGAGGCTAACAGAGCTACCAGCCATACAATAAGACTGGCAATCAGGCCGTGGAAGGCAGTTCTTGCTTTCAAGGAAAACACTGCACGAACAATTGCCAGGTATCTGTCTATGCTCATAAGCATAATAAAAAATATCCCACTGTAGAACCCAACCAGATAGAGCCACGAAATAATCTTACACGAGGGACTTCCAAAAACCCATTGGTCTATCATGAAATAAGACCAGAAGGGCAGGGATAAAACAAAGAGCAAATCTGAGATGGCGAGGTTTAACAGGTACACATCAGTCATACTCTTCAGTCTCTTGTATTTAAAGAGGACCACAATGACCAGAGTGTTTCCTATTAGCCCAACCAGGAACACCAGGGTATATAGAACAGGGAGGAAAGAGGCTGCAAACCTCTTGACGGTTTCCTTACTGCAAGGTTGTGGAGCATCATTATAATTATCATAAAAGTCATAAAAGGTTGAGGTGTCAGCTTCAAGGGACTCCGTGCTTGATAAACTCATGGTTTTTTCCCCCAGTTCCTGAGAATGAAAGAATATAAAAAGGTCAATCACTCTCTGCATGATGATGATCATGTGGTTACTCAGCAAGCCTGAATCGTGTTGGGGAGTCTGCAACACTCAATGACTAACTTGCAGATTCTCAAACAGTGTTTAAGTATTATAGGATTCTTATGCAATGCTTGCAAAAGTACTGTCCTTAGCATGCATGTCCTTCCAAAACTGCAAACAGACATGTCAAGAATGCTGAATGCCACTGAAGCTGCAAAGAAGAAAACAACCACGAACGAAAGATACAGACCAGAGATATCAAATCAGAGAGGGAGAAATTCTGTGTGGAGTAAAGTAAAAAGCGAAGCCACTGTTCACAGAAGTTTGAGATGCTACCCATCTTTCCAATCAGACAAACATTACTGAAGGCAGACAGAAACAGAATGCATCTGACCATCCTAATAAAATGAAGCTCACTGAAAGGTGACAGCAGTTCTCAGTAAGTGCTGTCTGTAGTAGCAAAGTGAATAACAGGAATTTGTCATTTTGATATGTATGTTCTTCTCTGATAGACTGAGAGTTTTAAGTGATGTTACTTTGAAGTTGACTAGATCACATAGTGGGCACAGGGCAAATACGTTGTTGATGTGAGTTATCACAGCACAGCAAACTTCATTTCTTAGCCTAACACATCAGAATTTTTGCAAACTGGGATTACAGCTTTCCCTTTTGTCTTTATTTTATGAATGGGAATCAGAGGAAAAGTGAATATCATCTCTTTATTTGTCTTCACACTGTATACTGTTGCTGATTAGCAGCAAACATAGACTATCGTTAACCTGTCCCCTTCCATGCATAGTCACTGTCGTGACACCTTTCCAGTCTACAGCTCCGTTCTGTTGTACACAAATATAATCTGAATTACAAATCATGGCTACAAAACTATTTGGCATCAGTGGCCTAAAGATGCAACAACAGCAGCTAAACATACCTGACTCTAATGCACCTTCAGAATGGCTACTCAAGTACTTTAAACTGAAAACATATGCTCACATAATGCACATACACATCATTCTAATTATGCAGGATTTCTGAAAATTGCTTTTAAAATGACTAAGCAGCAACTAAAGGTAGAAGCATCTACAGTCATATACATTATAAGCAGGTATGACAGACAACTGCTTCTGCCACTACATTTTGTAAACATTACCTTTTCTCCTCTCTTTCTCTTCAAATGATGCAAAGAAGCTCCTCAGTTCTGGTGGAGCAGAACTGCTTGTTTCTGGCCAGGTATCTCTGCCAGCGGCGTGCTGCCTACGCTGTGATACCCAGCAGCTGCAAAAAGCAGATGTCAATAGGTAGCTGCGTCTGTCGGCGGAAACTCTGTATTTCCTTGCAGATCGTATCACAAGTGGTTCTCTCATCGATCCTCACGAGAGATAGTCCTTTAAATGCAGAACAGAAGTAAAATGCATTTTACACCGTGTAAGGCAACACGAAGTTTCCAGTGAGAGCCTAATTACTGAGTTGAAGCCACATCATCTTAATGATTAATGAAAGTAGGTGCCACTGAGGAGCTCTTGTTCAGCGGAACTTTCGTTCTTTTTTATGGGTTGTAAAAGTGTACCTCAAACTCAAGTAATGAGTTTGTAGTGCAGTGAGTAGTGAGCAGTGAGGAGGTGGGCACTCAGTGGTTGTGTGGAGGTGTTTCTAGTAGGATAACCAGTTCTCAAAGTTATACCATGTAGCTGCAGAAGAAAAGAGCTGTCTAGACTTAGTGTAGGGGAATCTCTTTTTATTCATTGCTCTCTGGTCTTCCTAATGTCTGCTTTGTTTCTGCTAGGGAAAGAAACGAGGGCATGCCAGTTCATGCCTTTTTGCTTGATGTCTCCCATAGCAGGTTTTATATACAGCAAAGCTACTGCTGATCTTACACAAATGCTGATAATGGTCAAAATACCAAATGAGAAGTAGGGTGTGTGTGCGGTGTAAGGGCAGGGGGAGCTGAGGTTTCCTATGGTTCTTATTGCGGCAGGAAGCCCAGCTATTGCAATTAATTTCACTATAAATCCCCCAGCTCTATTTTGGGGAGTCCTTGGAAAGAGAAGAGTGCACAGGACAAATGCTGGCTAAACAAGATGGTTCTGAGTCCCTCTGGCAGAGCAGCTGTGCTTGCAGCCTGCAAATGCTGCTCTCCGTGTCCCACAAAAGGCCAACTGAGCAAAGGTAAAAGCAATTTCTCAACAGGGAAGGCTGCTTGCTGGATAAGATAAGAGATGCTGGATAAGAGAAACTGGAGAGTCAGAGTTAGAGGCAGAAACAAGGAAGCTGCAGAAGTTGTCTGGGAAGGGAAAAAGACTCATAGATCCCAGCAGAGCTGATGTCTTCTATGCCAAATTGTTTTTATTCTGGACATAGCTTTACATTCAATTATTCTATTTGCTGCCATCATATCTGCCTATGACATTGTTACTCTGCCCAATAACTTACATTTGGGTGAAGTGTTTCCTCCATACAAGCTTTACTGCTTTACTGTTCTCCAGAATAAAACACTCATACAGAAAGTAGCTGCTCAGTCATCTTTCACAAGCTGCATCTGTGGAGTATTAAATTTATCGCTGGGAGATCACCGGTGCAGGTTCATGTATGTCTTCTCTTCGGTGTGCTAACAGCCCTTTAGAGATGAGGCTATCAGATGAGCAGGCAACACTGTGGTACCAGTTTCATCAGCCCTGTTCTCAGAAAGTAGAGGCTGTTCCTCTTGCTCCCTGAAAGGGCCTCTTCTTTCATGTGTTGTTTCCCATGGTAACAGTGACACAAAGCCTCAGTTTTTCAGTGATATAAGCATCTGTTTTTAAGGAAAAAAAAAAAAAAAAGTGCATCTCCTTACTCTGTAGGTATTACCCTTCATTAGTTTTGGCTGCAGTGCTTTAGCCTCAATAAACCACTGAGTGCCTGCATATCTACCTTGCCCTGTGATTATTTTCCATTCCAACAAAACTGGTTGCTGCCTTTGGATTTCTTCAGTAGTGACTTTTCTGGATGTCCAGATGAAGCAGTGAACGGAACTGAATTTAATCTCCTTTCTACCCTCCTAGAGCCCACCTTGGCTAAGGGTTGATTTCCCATCACCAGTAACCTTCTGAGGACTGTCTAACTCTCATTAGTACCGCGTCACAATTCAAATATGCTTTTGATCTTTCAATCACATCAGCAGGAATCAAGCTTGCAGCCTTCAGATTGCAAGTTTAGCATGGCACTGGCTTGAAGAAAGAGCCTGTTGGGCAAATTATCTTTTGCCCAGTCCTCCCTCAGAAAAAAAACTTTAAAATAGCGAATGCTTCCTAGCTGTCTGCATTTTTCATACTTCTGCTCACTCTCTCAGGTAAAGGCAGGAGGGAAGGAGGAATTGTCTGTCAATTCAGGAGGAGGGCAGCACAGGCTCCTTGTCAGAGTTCATTTCTGTGGCTGCGGGGAGGGCTGGTTGTACTACTGCATCTTGTAACGCAGCAGCTGCACTGCAGGAGCCTACTATATCAGTATTTTTCATGTTATATTAGCAGATGGCAAGGGCTGTTGGCGAGGAGACTTTAAGAGTGCGTCTCCAGGAAGAGGAGTGCAGAGCTACAAGAAGAGCAGAGAAATCGTGGCTGCTTAGGATGTGTGAACTCCAGGAAAAGAAGCTAAAAATAGCTGCCAGTTCATGATAATGGAAAGGATAAAAATGAACTCTGAGGCACCTGTTAGTCTGTTGATGAAAAGAATCCCTCTGGGAACCTGAAAGGAAAACTGCAGAAAAGGTGGAGAAATGCATGAAATCTCTGATCAAGTGAGATGAGGCAGAAAATGAATGAAAGTTATTGCCATTGGAGGGTCTGCCATGACTTGGAGAGCAAGAGATAGTGCATAGCAGGGGAACTCTGAGGTCCTGGCTAATGTGTCACGGTGTCTTTTTTCTGCTCCTCCTCAGAGAACCTGGCAGGGAGTGTCAGGAGACCACGAGGCTAGGAGGAAAGGGAGAAGGGATCTCCGTGAGGATGCTGCTGTAAAACTAAGAGGTTGGCAGGGGCAGGAGGAAAGAAAGGAGAGGTCTTACCTCTTTGCTAGATGGCATGAGGTCTGTGGTGCCAGCCAAATAAATCATAGCAGCACAGAGAAGGGGTCCAAACCTGATCAGTCTGACTGGGAGGAACCAACCCTTTATATGAGCGTGCATTAAAGCCAACAGAACGGAACTTATTAAAAACTAAAAGCAGAACAACATGAACCAAGAAGACCTTGCCTCTTGCCAAGAGATTTCAGCTCCACCCCCCCTTTTATGGAAAGCCTCATCTTTGACTTGCCGCCTTGCAGGCTGCACGCAGATCTCACCAGAGGAAGGACTGGAGATAGATGTCTGTCTGACCCAAGAGCTAGATGCTGTCACTGAGAGGTGTTTATCTGCACCAGTGATTCAGCATTAGACACAGGCAAACCAGAGAAGTCCTTGTACAGAAGGGCCTTAGGAGAGAGGCAGGTGACAGTGACTAAAGATAAACTGAAGTTAAACCTCTCTTTTCATCCAAACTACCAGAGCAACACCATGCAGGCAGCAAGAGACCTTTTTTGGTAACCAGATATCCCCCTCACAAAGCCTATTCTCCCAGTCACTCTCTTGCAATTCAAGTGAATTGGAGTCACAGTTTGCTTATCTGTAGTGCCAAGCCTTTCTCATTAGCAGAGTGCCTGTGTCATCTGTTTGCTGTGCAGGTGTCTGCCTGCCAATTTTCAGTATAGTCCAACCTTAATGCACCTGACTAAAGCTGAAGCAATCTGATAAGTGAACTAGAAGCAGAAAGCGAATTCTTTTTATACTGTTAGAAATAGTCACCATCTACACTTCTCCCAGGAACTTCATTCATAGTTTATCTTGAACGCTTTGAATGCAACAATTCCTTTTAGCTAAGACAGCTGCTTGTGCTGGCATACAAAAGATTTTAGGTCTTAAAGAATCATGACTGTTTTCTGTGCTT